CATCTGTTCATGCTCAAGGGTGTTTTGTGCCCAGTAGTGTGTATGGATGCACAAATAATGAAGAAGGAAAACTACCTCTAAATTCTGAAACTTTACATCAAATTAACAGCTAGATAAACTTGACCTGATAAAACCTGGACACATTAAGGTGTTCCAGCAGGACACAAACACACATCCAAACTGGTTTTGGAATGGAAATAGCAAGCTTGTGAAATGACCATCGAAAAGTCCTAACGTCACCCCTATTTAAAAAGTATTGATGTTCATGGGTATGATGAGTGCATGTAAACGTCTGCCCACAACTGTATTTTTGAAGGCATGAAGGCCTGTGAGCACTCCAGACTCTCACTGGATTCAAAGTGTATCTGCCATTGTGTCTCGTACATGTAGTTGCGGACAGAGTCAGGCAGGATGACCACACAGCGCTGCCCCTCCTCCAGCTGCTGAGCCATCTTCACAGCTGCTGCCATCGCTGAGCCAGAGCTGCCACCTTCAGCAAAACAGGCAAATCGATCATTTAGAGCGAACTGAGGTTGCTCATAACATACCACAACTCACTGATATGAACTTACCGCACAAAAGACCCTCCTCTCTGATCAGTTTGCGGGACATAAGGAACGTTTCTGTGTCGGTTGATTTGTACCAGACATCCACAATCTGTGCAGATTCAACAGAGACGGGCGTTTAGCAAAAATACTCACTTTACAAATGTGCATGTTAAAAAAAATACTCACAGATCTGTCCAGTACTGTGGGGATGAAGTCAAGGCCGATTCCCTCCACTTCAAATGGAAACTTTTTATTCTTCCCTTCTGAGCCTTCCAGAACAGAGCCTTCAGGATCCACACCGACTACCTAAAAACAGACATGAGGAATTGGGTAAGAGGCTGCAAACGGTGCAGGGTTAAACAGTTATCAAGTAATGTTTGATGGAGCTGCCAATACATGCATTGCTTCACTGATGGATATGCATCAGTGTGAGTCAGAAATAATAATAATAAGAATACAGTAAATAAAAACCATTCATTAGAGACTGTGGACTGATAGGTTGTGTGGTGCTCACTTTGACATTTGGACATCTTTCCTTTAACTTTCGAGCAACACCAGTGAGCGTGCCGCCTGTGCTGACTCCAGCCACCAACATGTCCAACTGACCTAAAACAAAAACACATTTTCTTTTTCAAGCTGTAAAAAAGTTTTTTTTTTAATAATAATATAATTTCACATTCATGCCTAATAAGCTAATATGAACGATTAGAGGAATTTTCAAGGTTTAACAAAAAGAACCAGCAATATGCCTTCATTTATTCGTGCAGTTTGATATACAGATCAGTGTTTTAGGCATGTTTCTTGTATGATTAAAAGTAATTTAATACATTTGTGCAAATAATGTGGAATCTGTCCATAGGTTTACTGTTCGTCTCCTCCCAACCGTTGACATTTTGTCATGTTTTCATGAGAAACAGCGGCAACGGGAGTTAAATGTGCTGTTTCACACGCCTCCATGGGCAGATCAAATGTGCAAGTCTAACCTCAGTGCACAAAAAGATTACTTCTGATTGGATCACTTCCAAACTCGTCCCACCTCATGTCTCCAGAAATTCTCATTATACTTTGTTTTTTGTTTTTTGTTGATGAAAGTGTCAAAACATAATTTTGACATTTTTGTTGTGCGTTCGTTTTTATTTGGTTATTGTCTTTTCTCGTTCTTGTTTTCATCAGGAAAAAAAATATGGTTGTTGAGAACAAAATTAACGCTGCTC